CTTACTCACCAATTTGAACAGGATAGGGAAATTGTTTTGAGTTTTTGTTTTGGGTTTGTTTTTTTTTTTAAAAAGTGCCAAGCTGCAACTAAATAATTAAGCTCCTGTCTCTGGTTTAGATTGTAAGCGACTGTACAACTGTGGTTTTTTAAAGACATTTTATCTGTTAATGTCAGAAAAAGTATATTGCATATTTGCTGATGTTGAATGTCTGTGAAAAATACTGTTTATTTATTAATTTCACTTTTGCCCTCTGTTGCCTTCCAGACTACAGCTGTAATATACCCTATCATGTAGGGCATTTAACTCAGTGTGTATCAGATAAGATTACTGAGGTGCCGTAAGTTGCTTTAAACATCAGCCTCTCCTTGTCTTCTCTTGTGTCCGTTAGTCTAGGTGTTAGATATTTTCTGAGTCCATATCTAGTCTTCAGTGAACCTAAGGGGAATTTGCTTGAAGAAAGGATGCAAGCTTATAGACACCTTAAAACTGTGAACATCTGTGCGGATGTGAAGGGTAACCATTTCCTAGTGGTTTAGCGAGAAGTCCTGCAGACGTTTCCGATCTATTCACATGAAGTTGTTTTGTGCAGCCTCTTTGGTGCTGCTGTAACTGACAAAAGCCTTTTCTAAAAACAGTTTTTCACCTTTATATTCTGCAACTGCAAGAAGCTGTAACGGTTTAGAGATGTAAGAACTGACCTAGCAGTTGCTTTGCAATATGTTGTTGAGCTAATTTAGACTGGTTGGAGTTTCTTACTTCTGGGCTACGTCACAGTACATAGTGAATACGTTTAAATGCAACAGCCTACTCTTGCAAAATCCATACTTTCAATTTGTTTAGGTCTCCAGATATTTTTGGAGGCAAGTAAATCCTAGATGACAGTTGTTACCATTCAAAGGACTTGGGAATTTGGAAAAACAGTTTTGTCATCACATACTGTGTTTATATTTTAAATAAAATCCATTCATTCTTCTGGATGTTTGACTAAGTCTATCAGCACGTAAAGACAAGTCACTCCAAACCATTGCTCCGACCAAAGTGGCGGTTTTACTTTCAGCCATGTCCCTCAGGGCATATGAGCACTCTTTTCCAAAGCCCTCAGATGAGGAGAGAGGGATGCAACATAGAGACTTGACAAGCTTTGCTCTGGTTAGTCTCGCACAACAAAGTATCTGGAACAAACACAATGAAATCCATGTGGTAGCCTGAAGGCAGCACCAAGCCTAGGCTGACACATCCTTTTTCTCACCCAACTTAACAACCCCTCGCAGTGCAAAAGTACAACATACCCTCTCGCGTTCAGAGCTGAAACCAGCTCATCACACTGTCCCAAGTTGGTGCTGCACTCAGGCACCAGCATCCTCTGTTTCCCTTCATTAAAAATAGCAGCTCACATGAACTGCATGTCCTAACAACTTAAATGCGTGCACAGGAAAGCATCTCTTGCTGCAGCTTTGTGGGAAGACTCTAAGAAATGGACTTACTTTCACAGAAAAGCGAAAGTCTTTCTTTGTGGCATGGCTGGTAAACCACAGATGGAAAGCCCCAAGAGAGAACATGTGTTGCTACTTAGTGGTCTGAATCCATTTGTCCTGTAGTCAAATTCATTATTTAAATCTTTTCACCTGTGAGAGCTGAAATATCTCTTTTGCTCAAAAATGCATTCCCTTTTTCTACTTCAACAACCCTGACTCCAAACACTTTTCTCAATAGCCACTTGTGCTATATCAAAGAAATTGGATTAGTTGCTTTTCCAAATTACAAAGTGAATCCTTTTCACATTTATAACAAACATGCACAAAAGTTCACATTACCCCACAAGGGTAATGTCTCTAACCTCTCTCTTTTCCAGGGCAAGAGAAACTGCTGGAAAGAATGATTTAGTACAGCCCAGCTCTGCAGGAAGAGGACCCGCACACACATACAGTATAAGTTAGTTAGGCTCTTGAGACTCTTCCTCTCAGTGTGAGATGTGATATTAGGACCTTCACCACATTCGTTGGATGATACGGGATGAAATAATTGGAAACTGGTCCCCACTTGAGGATTACAAAAGGCACCCCACACGTTCCTTGAGATGATCTCCTCTGCATCTGGCAGCCCAGGGAATTACAGGCCACAGACCAGTAGCCTTGGTCTCATTCATCTTTCAAGACACACTTATGTGACAACACATCAATTTGTACAATTACCTTCCAACACAAGAAAAGTGCTTCCAACACTTCATGCGTTACCAGCACTGCTAATAAGTGTAAGTAGCGTACCTGAACCAAGACCCCATGCTGCAAAACACAAGTCCTTGAGGAACTACTCATGACCTTGCCATTAACCACAAACCCAAGTACTTTCTTAGGAAGGAGCCTGTCTCCCATTTTAGTCTGGCACAGAAAATTGCTGTGTAGAGACAGATGCTCTTTTATCAACAGAGACTTAGGCTGACCTTCCGACTTGCCCAAAATAGTGGTTTATTACTGAACTGTTGGGACCTAATTTGTTTTCGTGTGATTTCAAGAAGTGCTGCTTGGGGCCATTTTATAACAGCAAAACTTGGACACAAGTCATATGCTTAGAGTCACACAAGGCTGTAGCTGACTTGATGCTTGAACTCAAGTCTCTAGCATGCAGAGACCTCCTTCTCTCCTTTCACTTGCTGGACTGGAAAGTCTACTTCTTTGCAATATTCATCCCAGTAGATGTCATAAGTCAACAGAAGCCATTTGCTTTTTTTTAATAGCAAATGCTTTCATATCTATTGCACAAAAATAGTCTGCCCTTAAAAAAATTGGAAAGAGGAAAAAGATGACAAAACATCCTTCTTGAGACCAGAAAACTTTTAAGAGTGTGTCAGTAAGAAGCAACACTAAGGCAGCCATAATGTAGACAGAGAGTGAGTGCTAACATTTCCTTCTTAATTTCTTCCACCAGGAGATCTATGCTGTCACGTCACATCCCTCTTACAAGGCTAAGTGTAGTTTTGAAAAAAAAAAAAAAAAATCAGGTTTGCTTACAAAAACTTCTTTTCCACAGCATTGTGCTGGACTAGAGGTAATTCCATTCCTCTCAATTCATCTCTGTACCAGTCAGACTTACCATTGTTATTTTACCTGATTTCTAAAACACGTCACAGTAACTAAAAAGAGGTCAAGGCATAAAGGTGTAAAACGTCTGAACTACTGCTGAAGCACTGTAGCTGCTTTCATAACACAGGGTAAACACAAAGTATTTTTATCACCTTATTGGAAATCTTATTAGCCAGCTCAGATCAATTTGATAAACTGCCAGTGCCATTAAACTCTGTGTCAGTGAAGTACCACAAGTCCTATCATAAACCCGGTATTTTAAAGCCCTTTCTTTAGTTTTCCATATGTATGCTCATATTTCCATATCTATCTGGCACTATCTGCATCACAAAGAATTGTTCTCTTCTTTGAGACACATTATTGAATTTTCTTATCGGTATCATGAGAAAAATCCAGCCCCAGGTTGGTTCCTGATCTACTTGAACCATGCAACAGGGCTGGCCAGTTAATGATCGTCACTTTCAGAGAAATTTATCAACTGTTTCTACACAGGGTTAAGCAGGAAGCCAGCACCCCAGGAAGGACTCCTGGACTCTTGGCATCCTCTCACACAAGAAGCATGCCCAGAAACTGAAGGGCTGGAAAAGCAGAGGAAGTGGCTGTGGAGACAGATGAGTCTTCAGGGCTTCCTGGGCAGGGTGAGCTGCTGTGCCAGGTTTCTGCTCAGCAGCCAGGCACCCCATCAGGAGTCCTGGCATGCCAGGACATGGCTCAGCTCTGAGGAATAAGAGCCTTTGAGCAAAAAGCAAAAGAATAAATTAAAAAACAAACTCTACACATCTGTTCTGTTTAACTTTGGATTATTTTGTTGGGTTTTTTTTTTATTTAAAATTGAATTTTTTCATGCTTACCATGAGGCAGACAGCTGCCTGTTAAGGTATTTCTCATGGAACAGTCTTATCCAGCTGAGATGAGGAAGAAGGAGGAAAAGGAGAAAAAAAATAAGAATCTTTTAATCTGCTCCAGCCCAGTGACACTTCACCAGTCCCCTGGAGATGAAGCTCTATGTGGGAAATTTTAACTTTTTTTTTTAAAAAAAAAAGTAGCCCTTAAGAAAAAGCTCGTATTAACAAGCATATGCTCTGGCTGGCTGGAATTATCAATCACAAACCCACAAGGCATGCACATAGTGAGCCAGGGCCTTTCATTAGTGTTTTTGGCAATGCAGCGACTGCTGACAGGCTTCATACGACATGTCTTCGCTTCACTTTTGAGCAATTCCTATTGCGTCACAACATATTTGGGTGGAAAATTATTTCTAAACAAAGTCAAACAAACAGTTCCTCAGAAACAGAAAACCTGGCAAAATAAAAATTTGTCATCCGCCAATTTGTGTGGCTGCATTTACTGCATCAGTAGGCCTTCAAGTCTTGGGAAACAGTAGTAAATATTCCACGTGTCAAACATCTCTGCTACTAAAAACCAGTTTTTGCATTAAAACTGGTTTTAATACCCCTGAGTCACAAGCACTCAGGCTTGAGCAGCCCACAGCCATGTGGGATGCCAGGCACAGAGCTGTGCCCCTGCCTGCATACTTTTCAGAAGCCTTTGGGGTGGGGTTGGAGGGCAAGGGAGGAAGAGAGCTTTGTTTTGATTCAGTCTCTAGGCAGTGCTGCTCCAGACAGCTAGAAAGAAACCACTGACCTTATGCACCTAGACAGAAGCCAGGTAAGAAGTTTGATTTGAAGCTGGAAAGGGACCCTAACCCCCTCCTGTGAAGGTCTGGCTTTACAGCCCAGTGCTCTTCTACATCACTCACGACACATTTCACAAAGCATGCTATATCTTAATCATTGCACACCTAGATGCTGGAATGGGATAGAGCACTCAGCCTGTAGATAAATAATTGTATGATATATCTCAGCCAGCTGGAAACTCGATGCAAGCAGTCAGTGTAATTGCACAGAGGTGAGCGCGATGGAGCAGCATACCAAAGTGTTTTTGAACGGAGATAAAGTGCGATGGAGCTGCATGCCAAACGCAGGTCAGATTTTGCAAGGAGATGAGCGAGAAAGCACGTAGCTTCCGCAACGCATGCCCATCCTTGTCTCAGTGGCACAACTGCCACAGACTGAAGGCAAACACGGTCCCAACGTCACTGCTTTTGTTCAGACTATGTGCTTTTCAGGGAGGAAAGACTGGTACTCCATATCTCCCCCCGACTCCGTCAACGTCAAAGCTACTGTCACTGTTTACTGCCAAGACAGCACATACTTGTTTTGCCCTCTTGAGATGCTGCACCTCACAGGTTAGCAGAATACCAGCAACCTAATTACACAGGCAGTTATTAAAGCCTACCTCAACTTTCACACTAGGAAAAATTGTGCTTCCTCTCATGAAACTTGGCCAAAAAATAATAATTTTTTTCTAGGTGAAAACCAGGGAGAGATCTGGAGAGTTATTGCTATACACTTCCCCAGTCACAAAGTCTCTGCTCACCCCGCTCGCTATGTGGGTCACACCGCAGAGAGGGCGTTGGGCTGTAAGGACCTTTGGACACGCACAGCTTAGCAGCCATTGCTGAACTAAACAGTTTTCCCCACTATTAGACCAATATCTGATAGGTTAGAGATAAAGGACTGCAGATAGCATCTGCAAAACAGGCACTTTAATTGCTACTAGTATTTACAGAGTATAACCTTCCAGAAACAAAAAGCCCTCTGAAAACAAAACAAAACAAACCCCAAACAACAAAAAAACAAACAAACCATGCAAGAGTGGCTGGAGCTGCAGTACTATACTCAGCAAAGCTCAAGTTTCATCAAGATCAGAAACAAAAGGTCCTTCGTCCTCAGGACTGGTGCACCCCATATAAAGTAGCACTCCCACCTCAGGACTGGCACACCCCATAAAGTAGCACTCCCACCATGACCACAGACACCGCAAGAGCAGGAGCTGCACCAGGTAAGGAGCCAAACCAGGACATTTAGTTTCAACACATGCTAATGGTTCAGCTCGGGGCAGTGGGGTAGCCCTGTATGTTAGGGAGTGTTTGGATTGTCTAGAGCTCGATAATGGTGACAATAGGGTTGAGTGTTTACAGGTAATAATCAGGGGAAAGGCCAACAAGGCAGATACCGTGGTGGGAGTCTGGTATAGATCACCCACCCGACGAGGATGAAGAGGCAGGCAAAGTATTCTATAAGCAGCTGGGAGATGTCTCACAATCATTAGCCCTTGTTCTCATGAGGGACTTCAACTTACCAGATATCTGCTGAAAATACAATACAACAGAAACGAAACAGTCTAGGAGGTTCCTGGAGCGCATGGAAGATGATAACTTCCTGACACAGTTGGTGAGGGAGCCAATGAGGGAAGGTGCCCCACTGGACCTGTGGTTTGTGAACAGAGAGGGTCTTGTGGATGACATGATGGTTGGAGGCCGTCTTGGGCATAGCAATCATGAAACGATAAGAGTTTCTGATTCTTGGAGAAGTAAGGAAGCGGGAAGAACTGCCACCTTGGACTTCTGAAAGGCAGGTTTTGGCCTGTTCAGGAGCCTGGTTGACAGAGTCCCTTGGGAGGCAGTCCTGAAGGGCAAAGGAGTCCAGGAAGTCTGGACCTTTTTCAAGAAGGAAATCTTAAAGGTGCAGGAACAGGCCATCCCCATGTGCCAAAAGACAAGTCAACATGCAAGACCACCAACCTAGCTGAACAGAGAGCTTTGGCTGGAACCCGGGGGAAAAAAAAAAAAGGGGGGGAGTTTATGAGCTTTGGAAGAAGGGGCAGGCCACTCAGGAGGACTACAAGGATGTCATCACATTATGCAGGAAGAAAATTAGAAGGGCTAAAGCCCAACTAGAACTTAATTAACAGATAATAAAAAATGTTTCTATAAATACATTAGCAACAAAAGGAGGGCTGAGAAGAATCTCCATCCTTTATTGGATGGGGGGAAAACAGTGACAAAGGATGAGGAAAAGGCTGAGGTAGAGAATGCCTTCTTTGTCTCAGTCTTTAATGATGAGACCAGTTGTTCTCCAGGTATACAGCCTCCTGAGCTGGAAGGCAGGGACAGGGAGCAGAATGAAGCTGCCATAGTTCAAGAGAAAACAGTTAGTGACCTGCTACACTACTTAGACACATACAAGTCTATGTAGCCAGACAGGATCCACCCAAGGCTACCAAGGGAGCTAGCAGAAGTGCTCACCAAACTACTTTCTATCATTTATCAGCAGTCCTGGCTAAACAGAGAGGTCTCAGTTGACTGGAGGTTAGCAAAGTTGACGCCTATCTACAAGGGCCAGAAGGAAGATCCAGGCAACTACAGGCCTGTTAGTCTTACCTCGGTGCCAGGGAAGGTTATGGAGCAGATCATGTTGAGTGCCATCACATGGCACATACAGGACCACCAGGTGATCAGGCCAGTCAGCATGGGCTTATGAAAGGCAGGTCCTGCTTGACTAACCTGATCTGCTTCTATGACAAGATGACCCACTTATTGGATGAGGGAAAGGCTATGGATGTTGTTTACCTAGTCTTTAGTAAAGCCTTTGACACTATTTCCCATAGTATTCTTGTGGAGAAACTGGCTGCTCGTGGTTTGGACCAGTGTACTCTTTGCTGGGTAAAAAAACTGGCAGGATGGCCGGGCCCAAAGAGCTGTGGTGAATGGAGTTCAATCCAGTTGGTGGTCAGTCACAAGTGATGTTTCCCAGGGCTCAGTAGTGGGGCCAGTTCTGTTTAACATCTTTATCAATGATCTAGTTGAGGGGATCGAGCGCACTCTCAGTAAGTTTGCAGACAACACCAAGTTGGGTGGGAGTGTTGATCTGCTTGAGGATAGAAAGGCTCTACAGAGGTATCTGGACAGGCTGGATCGATGGGCTGAGACCAAGTGTGTGAGGTTCAATAAGGATGAGTGCTGGGTCCTGCACTTGGGTCACAACAACCCCATGCAGTGCTAGAGGCTCAGTGAAGACCATCTGGAAAGCTGCCCAGTGGAAAAGGACCTGGAAGTGTTGGTCAGCAGACGGCTCAATGTGATCCAGCAGTGTGCCCAGGTGGCAAAGGCAGCCACCAGCATCCCAGCCTGTATCAGAAGCACTGCGGCCAGCAGGACTAGGGAAGCGATTGTCCCCCTGAACTTAGCACAGATGAGACTGCACCTCGAATACTGTGTTCAACTTTTGGGCCCCTCACTACAAGACAGACATTGAGGTGCTAGAGCATGTCCAAAGAAGGGATATGAAGCTGGTGAAGGGTCTAGACAATAAGTCTTATGAGGAGCAGCTGAGAGAACTGCGGTTGTTTAATCTGGAGAAAAGAAGGCTGAGGGGAGACCTTATTGCTCTCTACAACTGCCTGAAAGGAAGTTGTAGCAAGGTGGGTGTAGGTCTCTTCTTCTATGTAGCAAATGACAGGACAAGAGGAAATGGCCTCAAGGTATGCCAAGGGAGGTTTAGATTGGATATTAGAAAAAATTTCTTCACTGAAGGGGTTGTCAAGCATTGGAACAGGATGCCCAGGGAAGTGGTTGAGTCACCATCCCTAGAGGTATTTTAAAAGACATGTAGATGCGGTGCTTCGGGACATGGTTTAGTGGTGTACTTAGCGGTGATAGGTTATTGGTTGGACTCAATCTTCAAGGTCTCTTCCAACCTAAACGATTCTATGATTCATTTAGCCTTGCCTTGCACAAGGGAAGGAAGGCTTGGGGACACTCGAGCTGTCAGCAGTTGCTCAAGACACAGATGGGAGACAGGTCTTAAGGTTGGCATACAGACTTAGATCACTGGACAGGGCAGAAAATGGATTTAGAAGAAAGCAGAGCTGACAGTCTTCCTGGAAAGCAGCGTGAAACACAAACCGTAAGAATGCTGCAGGCAGCTCCTCTTCCATGGTAGAGAGTGGCAAACCAAACACACGCACTTTAGCATGTGTCGTGGGTTAGGTTCAACTGCCCCCCCACCACAGCCAGTCACTCCCCCTCCCCCAGGAATGAGGGAGAGAATTAAAGGGGAAACCCGTGGGTTGAGATAAGAATGATTTAATACAGATGATTTAATACATTGTAGGTGCTCACCACCCCCTCATATGTGAAGCCCGTCTTGTCCCGAAGCTGCAATCCCGGACGAACGCGAGGCCCCGAAATAGAGAGGGGCAGAGAGAGAGAGAGAAAGAAAAACAGCAGAGCAACAGCACAGCAAGCGCAACAGCGCAGCCAGCGCAACAGCGCTTCTTCCCGGCTGCCCCTCGCTTTTATACTGGGCATGACGCTGCATGATATGGAATACTAATTGGCCAGTTGGGCCCTCAATCTTAAGTCCCACCACAAATCACAAGGGGAATCGTGTCCCCCTTGTCCCACCGTGTTCCTGCACTCCGGCACACTGAAAAGTCCTTGGAGTTTCACTTCCAACCACAAACATCAGCGTGCTATCAACATTCTTCTCAGAGTGAGCCTCTGAGTAAAACCAAAACACGGAGCTCTTCTGGCTGTTAAAAAACTCTGTCCCAGCTAAAACTAGGACAGCATGTGACTCATGGAGAATTGCATTCTTCGGTCCAATTTCATTGCTTGCATTTAGAAATGTATGTATTAGGTTTGGCGAAACTCGCACAAGATACCACACAGCATACTTAGCGTTGCATAAACCAAGTTGTAGTTTTTTTGCTCTTGGATTTCATTGTTTCCTTGCCATGTCTAAATGAAAGAATCACTCCTACAATTAGCAATAGTCTGACCAACTGCATCTCTGAAGGACTGCAGACAGCATTACTGTGACTACGCTGAACCTCTAAAGTACATACCTCTGATGGAGAACACGGGGAGGCATTCAATGCCTGGCTTATACAACTCACAGGGCCAGAGAGAAATCCAGCTACATGCCTAAATATTTTATTATAGCTGCAAATAAGCTGGTTGGAATGGGAAATATCTGTCAGAAGGTGGGTGTGCTCCCCATGCATTTCTAGACAGAGCAGAGCCCTCTCCCTAGCATTCCTGAACCAGTCCCATGCACAAGACCAGACTCCCCACCATCAAGTTCAGCTTTCTACCCCAAGCAGGTTTCTGAGCCCTGCTTTGGCCAGCACAGAGTAACAGGATAACAGTGGCTACAATGAAGGAAAGGAGGAAAAAAAGTGGCTGAGAAAGATGATGAGACTTGCACCCTTTGAAACATGCCAGAGTCCAGCACAGAGAGATGAAACGCAACAAAATGCTTTTTCACTGAATTGCTCAGAGGGCTGGAGAGATGGGACAGCACTAAGAAAGCTGGGAAGGTCAATATAAAACTAGGGGGT